TTTCTCTGAACCGGAATGGAATAAATAGCACATTAAAATATATTTATTATATATAAAATACATTAAAATATGCCAAAATATACTAAAAAGCTTTCTTCTGTTCATATTTACATTTTTAGGACCATTAAAACTCACTTAAATTGGAACCCCCAGTACCTCAAAGAAAGATAACTGTAAATATTTTTAAAGTCTGGATTCTACAATACTACACTTGGTATGCTGGTGTCAATCACTACTAAATCTATCTCTATATATTTAAATGAGTCTATCAGAGAGGTGAACTTTCTAAAGAGCAATAAAGGCAAAAGGCTGGTGCACAGTTAAGCCTTACTCCTTAGAAGCCCTTTGAAAGCTAGAAGGGTGCCTAGTCAGAAAGGTAGAAAGCAGAGAGAAGCCAGAGGGCTGTCGCCTTCACAGTCTGGGACAGAGCCAACTATTTCCTCTGGCCTTGGTGCTGGGTTGCCTAGTGTTATTATAGAAAATCTGGCATTCATATTTAAAAAACAGTATTTTGGGCTAAGATGGCTTAATGGACAAAGCTTGCCACGAAGGCTGACAATCGTGTTCCATCCTTGGAACCCACACAGTAGGAAAGAACAGATATCCACGAGACATCCTCTGACCTCTATACACAGGCACCATGGCATAAGCACACAAGTAATTTTAAAAACAAAATAATGGAGCAGAGAAATGGCTCAGCAGTCAAGAGCACTTACTACTCTTGCAAAGAATTCAGGTTCAGTTCCCAGCACACTGACAATCACCCATAGCTCCAGTTCCAGGAGACTGGTGCCCTCTTCAGGTACATACCAAGTACACACCTGATGCACCATGTACATGCAAACAAAACACTCATTAAATAAAAATAAAGCTACAACTTTAAAAATAAAATAAATACCATTTTTATACTAGAGCATCTTACTTATAAATTTAAGTATCTTTACTCTCCACTGGCTGCTCAATTACATTCCATATATCATAAACATCCATCTATAAGTCTCTGGCCCTGGCCCATCACCATCAGATCCAAGTTTTTCAACCCTTTCTCACCATCCTTTGCCTTTCCACCCAACGTCGTGTTTACTCTGTATTGGTATGGAGATGAAGCTGCCTCACTGGAAAAGCAGTTACGACATCCAAACATTCCTCTAACCCTCTAGCGAGGGTCCTCATTCTACTAACATTTTATGTCCCTGCCTAGGACACAACAATCATCCACTATGACCCTAAACTTCAGTCCCTTCCTCTTCTCTGCACCTTACTCCACCTATTTTATTAGCCTTCTTTTCTCTATTGTCAGCGTGGCCCTGTCCAGTGGTTTGTGCCTGTACCCATAAGCACATTCAACATACATTCACCATTTCAGCAGCCAGCAAAATCCATACTACTGCTTCCTGTCTTTCAACTATAATGGCTTACACAAAGTGTTTCACTCTAATACCACTTTTACTGATTTCTCAACCCATTATAGTTCACTTCTTCCTTCTCCTAGCCACTCACACATGTTTTTTGAAACTAATCTAAATACCAACAACATTCTAATTGCCCAACAAGAGCCTTTCTTCCCAGGGACTAACACTTTTAAAGAAGCCTCTGTAGCCTCAATAGTGTTGAAAAGACTTTGAAAGTTTGTCACTTTGTCTTCTGTAAACCTCCAATTTTCATTTCACCTCTTTTTTCTTCTCTTTTTGATGAGACCTTGTCTCACTTTGTAGCCTAAGCTAACTTTAAATGTCTACATCATTTTATACCCAAAATATCTATACTCGACACTTTTTAAAGTTAGCACACAAACTAATGGGTTTCATTATGGCATTTTCATACATGTGCTATATACTGTTATTCAACTCACCCTCATGACCGGGTATTGTTGGCTGCCTTCCTCTCCACACTTCTGCTTTCATGCCAGATGTATTCCATTACTCCACCCCCCCACCCCGTCCTGCACCTTCCCTTTCCTTTAAGAGTTCCTCCTTGGGGCTGGAGAGATGGTTCAGTGATTAATAGCACTAGTTGCTCTTGTAGAGGAACTGTTTTGTCTCAGTACCCACACAGTGGCTCACAACCAGCTCCAGGGGAACCAACACCTTCTTTTGACTTCTACGGGCACATGTTACACATACATACACGCAGGCAAAACATTCATACATACAAAATAAATCTTAAATTTTCTTTTTCCCCCTCTCATGGTTCCATTTCTACTTTTATAACCTATAACCTACCCCCCAACACAAATTTAAATCTAGAGTCATCACGAGCTAAAAACATACAGTATGTCTGAGTTTTATCTCTCTTAACATGACAGTCTCTAGTTTTATCCATTTTCCCACAACTATTTTGTTTTTCTTTCAGCTGAAAAAGTGCTACTTATATTCTAGCACTTTTTTTCCCATTCATCTGCTGGTGGCTACCTAGCTGGTTTTATTCTTAGTTATTGTAATGTAGCAGTAAACCTGGGTGTGTACGTTTCTCTGTGATATGCTGACTCAAGAGTCCTTCCTTTGGGTAGATACCCAGGAGGAGGATTGCTGAATCATATATTAGTTCTATTACATTTCAAGAAAATCTCCATACTGGTTCTATAGTAGCTACATCACATACTTGATACTGTTATTATGCAAACACTCTGGGAAATACCAGCGATTTCCATGTGAGACACTTCATATATTCTGTTACTTTATCAATTTCTCCTCTTTCCAAAATAGCATATTTACATTTTCAACTGCCAAGAAATGGAACCTCAATCTTATTTATTTATTTCTTTATTTTTGGTTTTCGAGACAGGGTTTCTCTGTAGCTTTGGAGCCTGTCCTGAACTAGTTCTTGTAGACCAGGCTGGCCATGAACTCAGAGATCTGCCTGCCTTTGCCCCTACCCCATTGCTGGGATTAAAGGCAAGTGCCGCCACCACCGCCTGGCTGCAAATCAAATTTTTAACAGAGCCTACATAATCTTTACCCACCAAACCTACTCCTCCTATTGAATGATTATCATGACCAAATCTTCCAAGACAGAAATCTTAGCGTCAAATGCCAGTCATCTCTGCATTATCTTTCCCCATCCAAGTCCCATCAATCTTCAATAAGAACAAATCTTATCCACTTTACTTTCTAATCTCTTGAGTTCAACTGTCTTCAATCCTCTTTATTATCAAAGTCTTTGGGATATTTAATTTTCTTGTTTTGTTTTTTTTGAGACAGGGCTTCACTGTACAGCTTTGGCTGTCCTAGAACTCGCTCTGTAGACCAGACTGGCCTTGAACTCACAGAAGTGCAGAGATTAAGGACGTGTGCCACCTCCACCTGGCTTGTTGTGTTTTTTGAGCCAGGTCTTACCGGCCCTAGAACTCAATCTTCCTGAGTGCTGGGGTTACAGAACTACACCACTACCACACCCCAACTTAAGGGTATTTGAACGACTGTCTCTTGTTCACTTATTCTTACTCTCTACTGCTACAAGGAATATCTTTCAAAATAAATTTAAACTTGAAATAAGCTACATCTCAAATCCCCCTACAGACCAGCAAAAACTTAAAAAAGGAAAATACTGCTGTGTGTTGGTTAGAATCTAGAAAAATAGATAATCTCATAAACTTCATATGAGGAATTATGCAAAACATTTGGAGGTATTATAACCACACATAAATATACATATTCTTTTCTAAATTTTTATTATTGTGTGTATGTGCATGTGTGTAGCGGGCACATATGTGGAAGAGGATTTTTGTTCTCCCTAGAAACAATGGCTTTCTTTGCGTATTTAGGAGTTTCCAATAACTGGATCACCTACAGCAATGCCAAACACACAAGTTCCATAAAACATGTTGGAATGGATGTTTTTCTTCCTTTTTACAAGGACTATTTCTTTTAAAAGTTCTATCATAACTTGTTAAGACCGTATCTTACTTTGCAGCCTAGGCTTACTTCAAACTTGCAGAAGTCCTCTTTCCTCAGCCTCCTGAGTTTTGAGATTACAGGCATGCATACACCAGCACACCTAGGTTAGATACCTTAGTAACTTTTAAAAGATATTTCCTATAAAATGCTGGTGAACTCTATTATATGGTATCATATATGAAAACTAGGCAAGTTTATAAATAGTGTATTGAGTTTTTATTTACCAAAGTATAGTGCTTTAAGGAGTTAAGAACTTATACTGGGTTAGAAACAGTTCTACCCAACCCAGAGTTTTGTATCTGAAAGTGGAATCAAGAAGTATAATGTTATAAGAAGAAACAGCTGTCCTCATGCCAACTTAAAACATTTGGAGGGCTATCCCCCAAACACCTTAGTTTGGTTCAGTGCTCTAATAAATTTGTCATGCTTGAAATTATGTCTCAGTACTGTGCACTTTCCCATTCTGTTCCATAAACAGTATTTTACACACAATTCAAGTATGCAAGTATTATTGTACATCCAAGAACATAAGTTCATACTTCAGATTTTCTCTGTCCAGTGGTTTGTTTCCTATACCTATAAGCATACAAGAAAATAAGTAGTTTGGTCATACATTTTTTTCCCAAGTTGTTTGAGGAGGATTCCTAATGCTAAAAGAGTCCTAAATCACATCCTTCATGATTTTGCAAAGTCACAGACTGTCTTTCTGTAACTGAAGAAACCACCTCTTTCTATCCCACCTTTATATAGAAACAAGTCAAGCACTTTTCACAATTTTCAATTACCTTACAGACTCCAAACTGAAAACTCATTTTACACATTTATTTTGTTTTATTGGAGACAGGGTCTCACTATGTAGCCTTAGCTGTCCTAGAACTCACTATATAGATCAGGCTGGCTTCGAACTCATAGAGATCCACCTGCCTCTGCTTCCCAAGGGCTGGGATTAAAGGTGTGCACCACCATACCTGGACAAGGTATTTTTACACATTTAATTTTAATGAACATTAAGCAATTATTATTCAATTTTCTTAACAGTGTTAAGAAAATTAACATGGCTTAATTTAGAAAAGTAGCACCCCAACAATGTACCCCGATACTTACAGGAAATCATAAGGTAGTCCTCACAGTTGGTTTTGTCGTCATCTTGCTGATCCACAGGGATCCCATTGGCATCTATGACTGCTTCAGAGGCACAGTCTGCTACCAACACTTCTTCTGAAACAACATCGGCGGCCAAAGGATCAGTGACAATTTCTGCTTCTACTACAGTATCGTGAACCACATGTTCAACGTGACCAACGTCAGACACATGTATAGATTCACTTGTCAAGACATGTTCAGGCATAGATATCGAGGCTGAAGTAATATCAGAAGCTAAAACATCATCCGGAACTGTGCAATGTGTTAAAGAAACTTCTTCAGTTACATCTGAGTCCAGCACTTGCTCTGGGATGATGACTGTTTCTGATACATCTGCTTCGTCCATGATATCTGGACACTGGACATCTTCTATAACAACGTCCTCAATAACATCTTGGATTACAACTGAGTCTGGGTCATCAGGAACAAAGTTGTGCACGGTTATGTCTGAATCCACAACATCTGACACAAAAACCGTTTCTTGTACTTCCACAACAATTTGATCCCCATCCATGTGTGTAGCACCAGCTCCTGAAAAATAAGCAAAGTCTTAAGCAAGTGTGGTTTGAATAAAAGTGACCCCTATCAGATCATATATTTGAATGTTTAGTCATCATGGAGTGGAACTGTTTGAAAGCATCATAAGAATTAGGAGGTGGGTACTTTTTGGAGGAAGAGTGTCACAGAGGGTGAGCTTGGAGGTTTCAAAAGCCCATGTGGTAGGCCCAGTCTCTCTCTGTCTCTCCCTCCCTCCTAATCTGGATAAAACTCTGTAGTTGTCAGCTACTTCTCCAGCCATGTTCCCCACAGTAGTAACAGATTAAACCTCTGAAACTATAAGCAAGCCCCCAATTAATGCTTTCTCTTCTAAATGGTGTCTCTTCACAGCAATACAACAGTGGCTAAGACATAAGTAAATAAAGTTATCAACTTCAGGACTAAATATTCCAATCAGCAAAATTATTATTCAATTTCACCCAAAATACACTAATTTATCAGTTTTCTTAAACATTTAGATTCCCCTGGATCCTCTGCCTTGGAAAAATAATCTATTTTTAAATAAAATTTTAAAAGACACTTTTTAGCATACTCTTTTAAGTACTTACCCCAAATCAATAGATAAGGAAAAACTATTGATAATAATACAATTGAGACAAAAAAAAACCTTCAAGACAGTAAAATTCTAGGAACACTAAAACACATTCAGTTACTTAAGGCATGGTTCTAAAACTTAAGTAATGTAACTACAGGTGGCAAATGCATCCATTTATATGCTTTTCATGCATTTTCCTTCTTGGTCTATCTCCCTTCCCACAACTTGTATTTTTTATTTTCCATTTTTCCCATGATTTTTTTCCACTTCCTTCACATCCTTCTCCTTTTTGTTCTGGCACCACCAACAGTCTCCACCTGACTATGGAATCTTAGACTTTGACCTTTATTCTAGAACATAAAAGGATTGGGGTATAAGCGAAAAGGAGGACAGCAGAAAATCTGTCTGAGGCTGTCTATCTCTACTGACAGACACTGAACAGAAATGCCACTGCCAAGGGGCAGTGGGATAAGGGGAGGTAGTAGAAGGAATCTACCCCTGACTTCAGAGTACTGGATTCTATTAAGCCTCCTCCCCACTGTCACTCCCAAAAGCAGCTCATAATACAGGAAACTCTTCCAGAGTCCGTTTTAGTTAAAGGGGTGACAGGAGATGAATCAATTTTTGCCCAGAGATTAAATAACTTAACTGAGATCACAGTTTGCACAGCATATGGTGCTCAGTAAATATTGTTCTCAACAAATGCTACAAACAGAACTATACATCCTTATGAGAAATACAAATCAAAATTTTTGAAAAATCCAGTATCTTGGCTGCCAGTCCAGAAAAAGTTAAGTTTTATGAGTTAAGTAAAGATCTAAGTCTAAACACGAAAATTCATTTCTTTTATATGTGCCTTACATATACACCCTAAAGGTCATTCTTCATATGCATGTGCTTTTACTTCAACCCATGCCATGAAATGGGGTGTGGAATTTTCTTTCTAGTTGTGGTGTCCTATCAGCACTCATAAGTTTTGGGTTTTGGAACATTTGGGATTTTCAGATTAAGGATATTCAACTTGTACTGACAAGAATATTAAAATCATTTATAAGTAAGTCAAATTTTTGGGTAGAAGGATGATAATGTGTTCACTTTCCCATTTGTAGATTCTAAAATCCAAGAGTGACTAACTATGAGAGTTAACAATTGGGCCCATAACAAACTCTCCATCTGGTAGATAAAAAGCACAATGCAATTACAAGTCATTATACCTGTTGCATCAAAAAATGAGTTTGGCGCCTGTGGTTGTAATTCAAGTCCATCTTCATCCATGGCCTTCAATTCTCATCAGTCACAACTCCTACATCAAGGGGAAAAGTGAAGTCAGTGTTAGTTTGGGTATCCTTTTTTTAATGTCACATTTTCATTTTTAAGCACTCAAGTTTTATGACTGACAAATATCTAATAAATAAACATATACATCAAAAGGATCACCTTTACCCAGGCCCATTATTAACTGAGATACATGCCAGGTATACACCTATAATCCCAGCATTTGGGAGGCTGAGGCAGGAGACTCACAAGTTCAAGACCAATCTGGGCTACACAGAGGATTCCAAATCAGTCTCAGCTACACAATAAGAGCCTGTCTAGTGAGGTCATGTCTCAAATAAATCAATAAAATAAAAATAAATTCACTGCAGGGTAGTGGTGATATACACCTTTAAACCCAGTACTTGAAAGGAAGAGGCAGGTCAATCTCTATTAAGTTCCAGGCCAGCCTGGTCTACAGAGCAAGCTCCAGAATGTCAGGGGTACATGGAGGAAACCCTGTCTCAAAAACCCAAAAATAAACAAACAAATAAATTTGGTAGGTTGGGATACTGCCTATATACACATCTCTTTTAAAGATTGATTTGAGCCAGGTGGTGGTATCAGAGCACACCTTTAATGCTAGCACCTGGGAGGCAGAGTCAGGCAGATATCTGAGTCTGAAGCCAGCCTGGTCTACAGAGGGAATTCCAGGACTGCCAGGACCACACAGAGAAACCCTATCTCAAAAACAAAAAATTATTTACCTTATGTGAATGCATAACATACATGGTTCATGCCATTGGCTAGAAAAGGGTGCCAAGTTTCCCCTGGAAGTAGAGTTATGGATGGTTATAAGCTACCACATGTGTTTTAGAATTTGAACCTGAGTCCTCTGGAAAAGCAGTCAATGATCTTTTATTTTTGTTTTGGGTTGGTTTTTTGTTTGTTTGTTTTGACTTTTCAAGACAGGGTTTCTCTATGTAGCCTTGGCTGTACTAGAACCCAATTCTGTAGACCAGGCTGACCTCAAAGTACCTGCCTCTGCCTTCCAAGTGATGGGATTAAAAGTGTATGCCACCACCTCCTGGCAACTAGTTTAAGGTTCAACTAAAAATTCATTCTGTAATTTACTGTGGGAAATTTCTGCACAATTTTGCATTACTTCTTTAAACTTATATACCCTCTCTTTCAACCACTATATTGAACAATCATAGAAACCCAAAGTATCTAATTATAGTAAAGGTAATGGTAGTAAGAACACTCTAGAATTCCATTTTACAGTGAGTGACTCCTCTCCCCCCTCCCCCAACTCGAGACAGGGTTTCTCTGTGTAGCTCTGGCTGTCCTGGAACTTGCTCGCAGACCACACCTTACAGGTGTGTGCCACCGCCTTTCTTAATTGATTTATGCAATTTTTCAGTGTATTTAATTCTTTTGGCATAGGTGATTAGTACTAGCTATGAAATGTTTTTTTTAAAGTTCATTTTTGAGCACAATAAAATCAACTTCCTACTCTCAAAAGTCTGCAACCATGAGCAAGAATGAGAATCTCCTCCAGTGATCCCGCTTGCACTCTCTGCCTACCTCCATCTCTCAGTCTAGGCTGCTAGAACAGAGGAACTGAGAAGTCATTTTCCCACTTTGGTTCAGACCAGTGAAATAAAGTCTACCAACAAAAAGAATCAAGTGAATGCCCTGAGAAAGTAGACGAAGTACCAACTGATTTTTGGATTCTGAGCCCAGAACTCCCTGAAGCCCCACTTTTTCTTTCCTTGGGATTTTGCAAGGCACCCCAATGACCTTAATTCTATCTCACCTACTTAGCAAAAAGCAAAAACTTAACATATCAAGTAATATATTACCAAGTACTATTTGGTTACTACTTCAAAAGATCTGACACCAAAGATTTTACTTGCCTGTTTCTAAGTACTGCGTAAATCTCCTCAATAGTTTCCCTATCTCTATTTTCTCACTTTTTAATTCAATCTAAATGGAGCTATTAGATGCATCTTTCTTTGGCCTTTAATTTTGTTAGTAAATACTATATACTCATGAAAATTTTAACAAAGTAATTTTTCTAAGCATCATTCCTGTTTAATCTTAAGTTCTAACTCCAAACTGTCTTTCCATCATTCTCTTTCCTACCATTCTCCCAAGTACCTCCCAGCACCACACAGGCACACACACTTCAGTAAACAAAAATGTCAGAACATCTCAACCCTGGCCTGACACACTAGGGCCATATAGTTCTTAAAGAAATATCACAAGAAACCCAAAACTTATATAACAAATGTTTTTCAGTGTGTCAGCGATGATTCTATTCACTTCCAGGAAATAGCTGTTTTGTGTTAAAAACAATTTGAAATTAAAACAAATGATGGCTAAATTAATAAACAAAAAACCCGGTTGTTCACCCATGAAAAACAAAGTGTACATGCTCTAAACTGTCACCACCCACTCCCTACCAGAATTACCTCTGGCTAGAATTCTTTTCCCTTTCTAAAATTGCAACTATGAAATGACAAATCTAAGTTAACCCTTTTTTTTCTTGGGGGGGGGGGTTCGAGAAAGGGTTTCTCTGTAGCTTTGGAGCCTGTCCTGGAACTAGCTCTTGTAGACCAGGCTGGCCTCAAACTCAGAGATCAGCCTGCCTCTGCCGCCCAATTAAAGGCGTGCTGAGATTAAAGGTGTGCGCCACCACTGCCCGGCTAAATTAACCTTCTAAGCATAACGAAATATTACATGAAATTAAGTCAACTAAGGGGATACATTAAGGTTCTTAGGTTCCACATTCCTCAAATCTCCCTACATAAGACTAATTCTCATTAACTCTAAAGATTCTCAACTTGTTTAACAACTACTTTGCTCCACTTTTATCTCTCTTGGCTTTTCTATTAAGACTCTAACAGGTAATCAATTCCACTGATTCTGAAGTTCATTCCTGCCTGTTTTTCCAAGTGCCATCCTAAGTCTCTTCCCCTTCTCTACACAGCTAGCTGCCCTGACTCCCCTCACCACACTAAAACTGAAGCCTAATCCTAGTCTGGTACACTAAACTATTTTCTCTTACTGTTTTCTCTCTACTCCCCTGGGCTATTTGCACAGACCACCAAAATTTATATACTCAAAGCAGAACCTTAAGCCTCTACCAGACTGACGACTCTTGGCCACTATTCCTTTCTCCTTCTTCCCCACTCACTGTCAGTCCAGGATGCCAGATCTTGTCAACTACTTCTTTGCAGAACTTCTCAGCAATCCATCCCAGTTCTTATTATCTCCAGTCTTTATTACTGTCTCTCAGCTTCATACTTCCTGATCCCTGAGGCATGAAAATAGCCTCTCAAGTACCCTTGCTCTTTACTGCCACTCCCATAACAAATCTAGGAACCCAGCACAAGTTGAATCGGTGCCAAATTCTGAGGCATTCCTGTTATCTGTGGAAGACTAATCCTCCTACCACTGCTTTGATCACGGCACTCCCCTGGGCTCAGAATACTTCAGCACCCCCCTACCTCACCCCACCCCCCCACCCCCCATATTCATTCTACAATATGAACCTGACGTGCCAGGAGACAATTATCTGCTGTTATTTTCATCTTTTAATCATACACATATTCTAACATATTCTAGCAAACATGGAAGAGGGCCATTGCAAAACTCAAATAGGTTTGGAAAAATAGACTTTGTACTTACAAGTAGAAATGACTATACTGAGGGCTTTGTAACCCCTCCAGGGTTAGACTTGTTAATTCCCTCTGACAATCAAAATGAAATTGTGTTGTTAGAAATACTCTCTGGGGTAAAATCAAGTAAGGGTCATTGCAAAAGGTGGACCAACAATGACACGGATTTGTCTGTGGAAGTGTCTGTGTGCTGTGGAGCAGGAACCAACCTCCAAAAGTAGCCAAATAAACACAATGGTTCAGAGCACCAAGATGAAATCCAAATGAAAAAGAACAAAGAACCAAATTATTACTACCTTTCTCAAGCACCCTCAAAGCACCTCTGAGATTCCTTCACCCTAGTTTGGAAAACTATTCCCTCCTGGTACATAAGTCGTAATTCTGAAAGAAGTCACAATGGAAAATGAAGTTTTAAAGGAAATACTGAACTGGGAGAAATCCACAAAATTCCCACGCTTCCTTACTTCCAATCTTTAAAATAGAACAATAAACACTCCCACCAACTCAGTAGGAAGAGTAATGGCATTTTATCTCTTAAATTCAGAATTTATGATAATTTGCTGATTTTATATTTCTTTAATTTCCTTTTGAGGAGGTGGAGAGGGAGACAGGATCTTACAGCGCAGTCCCATGCTGGCTTCAAACTTATGGCAATCCAGCTGAGTTCTAGTTCCGTATATCCACACATTGCTTTGACTACTTTCTTCGGTAAATTAACAGGAGTCTTAGATATGTATATTGCCAATATACATATACAAAAACCACTTTTTTGCTTGTGGTCCCCTAGAACTTTGATTTAATAAAATGGCTGACTACCGTCATTTCTGTCACACTCAAGAGAACTAATTTGTAAACTATATGGTAGATAAAATGGTTCAAATCCCGCCGGGCGATGGTGGCGCACGCCTTTAATCCCAGCACTCGGGAGGCAGAGGCAGGCGGATCTCTGTGAGTTCGAGACCAGCCTGGTCTACAGAGCTAGTTCCAGGACGAGCTCCAAAGCCACAGAGAAACCCTGTCTCGAAAAACCAAAAAAAAAAAAATGGTTCAAACTTCCCAAGAGTAACAAAAGCAAGCCTATCCAGAATTATTTTCAGAAAGTAAAAATGGTGAAAAAACCTAATATCTTCCCTCCAAAGTAAGCTTTCCTAATTTTTTGCCACGTTGTTCATTATTAGCTATTTCTCCAAATAGTCTCAAATCCAGACACATATTTTATTTCTCTTAGGTTAACCCTCAAAGTCAGCTATTCTTTTTATTTTTCAGGACAGGGTCTATTCAGCCCTGGCTGCCTAAACTTACTATTAGACCAGGCTGTTCTCAAACTCACCCTCCTGCCTTTGCTTCCCAAGTGCTGGTACTA